ATATATCTTTATTTGTAAATTGATTTTCCGGGAATTTTGCTTGTGTTTCCCTGTACACCGGAAGCGATTGTTAAGCCGGTTTGGGTAACGATAGCTGACAGACGTGTGAAAGTCAGGGAAATCGCATATTAAATTAGAAATAATATATACAATTACGATTGGGTGCTCAAATGATCAACAATTCTTAACAAGATGTCGCTTCCACCAGAAATATTACAAGCGATATTTGAAGAACTTGATGAACCTTCCTTGTACTCGTCAATATTGGTCAATCGAGATTGGTGTCAAAGTGCTATTAGCAACCTTTGGGCTAATCCTTTAGAATTTGCCTATAATAATCGGAATCAAATCTATTATGACAAACTTGCATCTATTCTTTCAACATCATTTAGCAAGCTATATCTTTGGCTTAAAAATAATATACTACAGTCAGACTTCCCTAAATGCAACTTCAAGCTATGCCCCAAATATATTTTTGACCCCATAAATGCTTTTTCTTTTTTTGTTCTCTAAATGCATGCTATCAAAAGTTTGGTGCAACGCGTTGCTTGAGCCATTTAAAAATTTAATAACTCTAAATACAGTCAAATCTCTCTATAGTCACCTCCTATATAAACACATTTTCTTTATAATTGCATTTTTTAAAAAACAAACTATTATTAAACATAATAAATTTAACCTCTATAGTTGTCACAATTCTTTATAATCACACTTTTTTGTATCCCAAGTGAGTGATTATAGAGAAGTCTGACTGTATACTGTATGTGGGACACTTTAAGAACAAGTACCCCAGTGATAATCACGAATGATCATCCTCGATTTTATCACACAATTAATTTGATTGGCCAAAAATGAACAAATCATGCGATATGACATTATTGTTTACCTGCATTAACAAATTGGCCTAAACTAACTATCACCCAACCCTAGCCTGCTAACACTAACCCTAACGTCTTAGGCTGTATAATTAATCATGTGATGTGATGGACAATATTTCCAAAATTTCTATGTGATAAAATCGAGATGATAATCCGTGATAATCACTGGGGTACTTGTTCTTAAATCTTCGGGACACTTCAAGAACACGGAACCCAGTGATCATCACATCACGTGGAAGAGTGAAATGACGTCATTTATTTACCAGCACTAAACAAATTAGCCTAAACTAACCTATCACCTAACCCTAACACTAACCCTAACGTAGGCCGAAAACTTAATCATGTGATGTGATGAACACGAATATATCACTGGGTTCAGTGTTCTTGAAACTACCCAAATCTTCCCCTGTATGTATAGCACATAAGAATCTTGACGCGTATATTTTGATTTCGAAATAAAAATTTTTTTACGAATCAACCAAAAAGCTTAATTTGAATAGTCGAACTAAGATATTTACAAAATCATATGATAATTTCGTGGACTATCAAACCGTTTTTCGGCATTAAATTCACTACAAAGTAAAATCAATCTTTGCGCATTAAGTAAACTTGTTACGCGTTGTTATTAACAATTAAGCTCATAAATTTTATTAACAAGCTTAGTATTCATTAAATTTTAATAAAGAAAAATTTTCAATCGTTTTTTTACGCAAATAAATTTTAATGAAGAAAAAAAAAGTTGTTACAGATATAGTTTTTATTATGAACAAGCTATTTAATATATAAAGTACATAAAACTCGATTTTTTTAAACCTTTAATAAATTGTTCATAATCATGATTAACTAATGGTTTAAGTGTCAACGAAAAAAAAAATAATAAAAAATAAAACTGAATGTTTTTCCAAACAAAATTTTATATATTTTTCGTAAAGTTCTATCAACAAAAAAATCGAGTTTTACACGTAGAAAGAATATTTTGTTAGTTTTCGATAAACTTCAATAAAATCTTCTTTCAGGTTGAATAACACCGATTATTTGATAAAATTGAAATAAATTATCAATTTCATCAGATAAATCACCATGATAAAATTTACATGGTTTAAATTTTAATCTAATCAAACAAGAACCTAAAAAGGATCTAAGCGCATCTACTGAGTAATTCCAAGATATTCCCAATTCTAATTTTCTTAAACCAATAGGTACTATCGTACTCATTTCTTCAAGGAATGGACTGATATCAATAGAATTACTTTGGTCTCCAAATAAGTAAATATCTTCTAATTTTAAACATTTCCTAAATAATTGTGTAAGTTCAAAAAGTGATTCATTGGGAATATACAAGTGAATAAATGTCAAATTTGGACAATTATTCACAATTGTCGAAAATAATGTTGGATAGATATGTGGATCTAAAGCATTTGTAATATCTAACTTGATAATTTCAAGAGTTCCTTTAGTATTTTGAATTAATGACACAAATGATTGAATATAGTGCGATAAATGATAAGTAATCATAAGCTTTCGAAGTTTTGTAGGTCCTGAATTTGCAAAAAGGATCTGATGTGGTGGTTGTGTAACAAATGTGTTCGATTGACGATTATTCTCCTGATGTTGTGTCGTTCTTATAGGTATAGGTCTTGGACTAGTTATAAGAAATGGATTTTGTAGTGATCCTTGAAGTGTCTGAGACATCGCTCGATTTCGTCTATGAGTCGATGTTCTTTGATGACTTTGATGAGGAAAGTTTTGTCTATGCGCTCGAATAGTTTGATTTAAAAATTGTAATGTTCTCGTTTGTTGCTGTTGTAATCTTAGTCGCATTTGTGCTGCATGTCGTCGAATCAACCATTGTGCTTGTGCAAGCGCTCCTCGTGGAAAAATTAATGTTAATTCTTCAAGATCTGATGAATTACATAATATTTCTAGACAATCTGAAAGTGATGGAAGTCCAATAGAAATATATGCATTACGAGCACTTAATGCAAATTTTTGAAAAGTTTTAGATTTATTACTAAGCACTGAAATTATCCTAGGAATGTCCCGACATATATGAATATCAATTTCTTTAAGGTTTTTTTGTGTATTGATAAGATTAATAATTCCATGTGAATCTTCTCCATCATAAATATTTAAGCTTTGAAGTTCCAAAGTGATTGCTGCTAATGATGAAAGAAATTTGGACGGTGTATTGCCTGTATAAAATATCATTTTTTCAATTTGTTTTTTAGTATTGATATTTATTATTATTATTAAAATGTATTATAAATTATTATAATATTAAATATTAAATATTAATTATATTAAGTATTAATCCTTATTACCTTTACAACTAAATTTTTTAAGTCTTGAAAGTGCCGTTATAATACTGGGTAGATTACCCAAACTGATCTCTAAAGGAAAATCGATAATTCTTTTATCTAAATGAGAAATAATAATTCCTGACAATTTTTGATAACTAAAGTCAAGAGATTTTAGATGGGAATTTTGATTAAGAAATATTTTGAGTAATTCTTCGGAAACCAATTTAATTCTATCATTTTCATTTCCATCATGTTGTATATCCAAAATTTTTTCAATTGAATCTTGTAAGGGTTATAAAACGAATATTACATGCACGAAGTTTGCTAAGGTAAAAATTCGATGTTTAAATACTTTTTGAATAATATGAATCGATACAATATTAATTTCTAAATTGTTAGACTTCATTATACTATCTCGTAGTTTATTTTCCTATTTTCAAAGTATAATAGTTAAGTATAATAAATTCGTTATTTCTGATTGTCTTTAGATAAGTATTCTTTCTTGATATTCGCATCGCGTTGCTTAGTGGTAATCTTTAACGATTTTTGTTTGTTTCACGCTTGACGATCTATTTGTTTTATCTCGGATTATTTCTTGGTACAATATATCTTTATTTGTAATTTGATTTTCCGGGAATTTTGCTTGTGTTTCCCTGTACACCGGAAGCGATTGTTAAGCCTACGTACATACGTATGTACGTACATGGGCCCATCAGCCGCCTCCGGCGTACAGGTCAACACGACCGGCTACCCGTCCGATCACGATCGTTACACTTAATGGGTAACACACCCATACGAATGAGCGATTTACCAAAATCGGCAAATCCTATATCAGAATGACAGCTACCAAAATTAGCAATTAACTCATAGTATTATAATATCTTAGTATCATATTTATCATAGTCATAGTCATAATATTTGCAACTTATAAATAGTCTAGTGATATAAATAGAAAAAATAACATATTTTCAGTAGAATAGCCTTCTTGAATGTATAAAAGCACAAGCTTTTCACCTTTTATCTTTAGAGAGCTAACGCTCCATAAATCAGAGCTAACGCTCCAGAGAGCAAATGCTCCTCACTACCCCAGACGTGTTAATGTTAAAAATGTTAACGTGTTGAAGTGTTGAGATGACTTAACATACTCAAACAACCACCCTTATAATTTAAGGAAAAACCTAGGCCATTGGCGCCTTAAGCCCAATATGGCAATAACCCTTTAACAAAAAACTAAAAGCTAACTCACCGTTAGTAATCAACGAGGCCATAACCCAAATTACTTTACGATGGCACTCAAACTCGTAAATTAATGAACAATATAACTCTTGACGCCCAACATGCGCAAGAACAATACTTAACAATTATTAATAACACATATTATTATCAAATAGTATAAATACCTTCATGCAATAATCAAGAAAACGTTAATAACTCAAACATTTAATAACGTTAACAACTCAAACATTTAATAAACTGATCTTTAAAAGTTTAAAATTTAATCGTGCAATATAATCCTTCTATAACAAATAAATTTCTTCAATACATAAATAAAAAACAATCCTATAAAAGAAAAACCCATAACTAAAGACTGTTGACGCCCACAACAGAATAGCATAGATACTGAGCCTGAAAGACGGCAAGAAGTAATAAAGTAAAACCTCAGAGAACTTATCCAACTCTGCAAAAAGTAGGACTAGCCAACCTACAACATAAAGCAAGAACACCATTCCACTTGCAATATACTAAATCCGTAACAAAGAAAGAAATAAAGAAATACAATTGCACCCAACTAAATAATACTATCAGGACAAAGCGAAACGCATAGATCAGACAGAGCTTAATCAACTCTTGAAACCATAGTGAGATAAATTCAAATCTACCGGATAGATACGAATAATCGAATCTGACACCAAAGTGAAAAGTAAGGCTGAAAAGGCT